AGGATTAAATGTAAACACATTTACATTTTGTTCAAACTGAGCATGAGTGAATATAATATTAGAGAAAAGAAAACATGACCAGTATGACTAAATAGGTGGTAGAAATTATAAATGATCAGTTCTAATAAATCAAGGGAGACTCCAAACAGTGAATGCAATTTTAGTTCTATGAATAATAGAAAAGTATAGATCAATCACTTAGTGTGTGGTAGAAAATTTTTTCTAGATCAAGGATGCCCCTAGATTGGGCAAAAAATTGATAATGAAACATATATAGGAAGAAGTTTAGAAGGAATTAGACTTTTGAACTTATTGGAAATGGAACTTAGGTAGAGCTGAATTTTCAGTTACAGTGACACTGTTAAGACATTTTATTCCATTTACCTTCCTGAAAAGTCCCTGAACAATTAAGAATGGAAAGGCACAATAAAATGGAGTGAATATTAAGACCTTAGTGATTTCTATCTTTAATAAATTCAAACAAATGGCCGTAATTTCAAAACACAACTTTGAAGAATAAGAAAAAAAACTTTTGTTCTGTACCAAAGTTAAGAACGGATGCTGAGACGGCACTCACCACAACCATCCCCCTGCACCACTGGACCTGAATAGGAAAAACTTCCCCTTAGAAGTACATAACACAGTCTAGAAACACCCCATAAGATTTTTGTAATGAGGACCATCTGCAAGCTAAAGCAATCAGATGTCAATCCCTTCCCGTACTACCCATTGGAGGTCAGCTGAAAAGGAAATCCCGTACTAGAAGTCAATTGAGTTGTCAAAGTCCAGGCCAGCCCTTCATGGCTGATGGCTAAATGATGCAGCAGGGTGAAGTAAAAAAAAAAAAAAAAGGCAAAGAGTAGTAGTAAGGGATTTATTATAAGTCCCATGAAACTATCTGAGCTATGAACTAAGGGCAGAACTCCCAGGATAACAGAAAAGTTTGATTTGATGAGCACAGGTTCAACATTTACAAACTTTAATCAAAGCTGAAGAGTGCCTCAACTCTCTCCTCTAATTTCTCCCTACTCTATTTTTTCTTTTTTTTGACAAATAACTTCTCCATGTAAAGATAAGTAACAGCAAAGGAAAACTAGTGCACAACATAAGGAAAAAACTCATTGATTCATTGAAAAGAGAAAACAGTGCATTACTGATCAGCAGATCAGTGCCGTATTAGGTGGTTTGGCTACATCAGTAAATAATACAGACACCTGCTCTTGTGGAATTTCATTCTAGTAAAGAAGACAGACAATACACAATCAACATGAAAAAACTAATTAAATTATACATTATGTTAAAAAGTGATAATTGTATAAAATTTTTAAAAATAAAGCAGGTAGGGGGTTCAGGATTGCTGGAGCAGAGGGCAAGTCACAAATTAAATAGGGCAGCCAGGGAGGACGTATTAAGAAGGTGAGACCTGAGCAGAGACTGGGTGGAGACACAGACACTAAGGAACTGGATAAACAGTAGAAGAGCATTTTAGGCAGAGGAAAAGGCACTGGGGTACATGTTGCTGAAACATTAAATAATCACTAGAGCAGGAAATCAAGGTACAGATGGGTAGGAGTTGAGATCAGAAAGTTAATGGGAGTGGGAGTCGGTGAGAAGGTGAGTCCTAAGAAAATGCTGGCCCTTATAAGTCATTGTGAGAAATTTGGCTTTTAATCTGATGGAATTGGGAATATATTGTAGATTCTGAACAAAGAATATCAAGATCTAAGGTTCTAAAAGAAAAACCCTGTTTTCTACGTTAAGACTAGACTGTCAAGGAGCAAGGATAAATGCAATAAAATCTGTTAGAAGCTACTTCAGTAATCCAGGTACAAAATAATAGGTAATGGTGGCTTAGGCAAGGGTGATGGTAGTTCAGATAGTGAACAGTGGTTGAGTTCTGGATATAGGTTGAAAGGGCCAAGAGAGGTTGTGACATATTGAAAGTAAGTTGTGAAGTAAAGGAATAAAGGATGACTCCAAGGCTTCCAGCAGAGAATATGGAAGAACAGAGCTGTCATTAATTAAGACAGAAAAGACTGATGCTGTTTAGCAAGAATAAGTGGAGAAGATCAGGAGTTCGGTTTTGGAAGTGCTGAATTTGAAGCATTTACCTCCCTAATAAGGTATCCAGGTGAGGATGTCAAATAGCCCATAGAATATATTAGTCTGGAGAGGAAAGAGGTCTGAGCTGAGATATAAATTCAGTTGATGTCAGCTTTTAGATGGCACTTAAAGCCAGGATGAACTCAGAGAATGATGAGCTCACCAGAGACAGAGCGAGACTAGAAGCAAGAGAATAACCAAGACCTGAGACTGGGGCATGTTAACATTAAGAAGTGTAGAAGTACAGGGGAAAATACAGCAAAGTACACTGCAAAGTTGTGGCCAATTAGAAAAAAATCAGATGAAGAGGATGAGTAGGTCTGGGATCTGACCAATGAATTTAGCAATGTGGATGCCTTTGATAACCTTGAAATAAATATGTTTATGAAGAGGATGGGGGTAATGAAAACATGATTGGTGCAGTTTAAGAAAGATTGGAAAGAGAACTGAAAGTGATTCCAGGAAAATCTTGCAAGGAGTTTGCTGTAAAGAGTGAACACAAATGGAGTGTGGGGGAAGCAGAGTCCAAAAAAGTGTTGAGTTTTTTTGTTGTTTTTTTTTTTTAATCTGAGAGATAACAACACTATTTGTATGGTGGTAGAAATAAAAATGATTATAGAGAAGAAAAAGGAAAAATTGCTTCTTCATGTCCTTGAATAGCTAAGAGGGCCTGGAGTCTAAAATAAATGAAGAGAGATTTAGAATAGAGCATATCCTTTGTTGAAGAATCAAAAATATCTCATTTTATTAAATTTTATTAAATTCAAGTAAAGTTAGCCTGAATAGCAATGTTTTTAAATGTCATATCCTGTATTGTCTTTCTATTTTTGTTTGTCAAACTTTTCACTAACACAGAGAGAAAGAGAAGACTTACCTGACATGTTTTTTACCAAACATGATAATAATGATTTTTGAGCATTAATATGACATAATTTGGAAATTTTTTTTGAAACAGGGTCTCACTCTGTTGCCCAGACTAGAATGCAGATTTAAGCTCATTGCAACCTCCACTTCTAGGATTCAAGCAATTCTCTTGCCTCAGCCTCCTGAGTAGCTGGGATTACAGTCATCTACCACCATGCCCAGCTAATTTTTGTATTTTTTTATAGAAAGGGGATTTCACCATGTTGGTCGGGCTTGTCTTAAATGCCTGGCCCTAAGCAATCCACTCACCTTGGCCTCCCAAAGTGATGAGATTACAAGCATGAGCCACCACACCTGGCCTGATTTGGTAATTTTTTACTATCTTCTTTTTAAGTTGTTAATTTTAGTAGAGTATGTCTTCATTTTATTAAAAATGACACATTTTTTAAAAATTAAGGCAAGCACCTTGTTCCATATAACCTTAAAAAGTAGGGTAATAGGAAGCTACCATAGGCTTCTAAAGACAAGTGATGCTGAGTAATTAAAACTATTCAGTTTTATAACCCTATTATAATGGAAAAGTGTTTCTTTCAAACCTAGTGTTTGAAAGAATGTTGAGAAACTGGCATTTTTGTATACTGCTAGTAAAAACATTAGCAAAATTTTCCTTTTCAAAAAATTTGAAGTACTGCACTATCTTGTTTTTCTGTAAAATCTTTTTTCTTCCTTCCTTCCTTCCCTTCCTTCCTTCCTTCCCTTCCTTCCTTCCTTCCTTCCTTCCTTCCTTCCTTCCTTCCTTCCTTCCTTCCTTCCTACTTTCCTTTCTTCTTTCTTTCTTTATTTGTTTCTCAATAGTTATATATCTAGGAGATTCATTAAAAATACTCCAAGATTTCAACAGAAGTTATTATCCAGGAATAGTGAAAACATTTATAAATACACACACGCACACACACACACACACACATGCACACACGCACACACATCACATTTTTTCCAATTTGTAGATTCAGTATCCTACATTAACATGAAACATCACATTCTTCGATCCTAAGATACATGTATTTTCACATTCATGAAATCAACATGTCACAAAATTAGTATTATCTTAGATTCAGAGAAATGTGATACTTTTGTAATTGAAACATCAACTAAGGAGGCATCACACAGGATAGCTTGTCTACATAGCTTAGAACTGAAAGGTGTTTGAAAGATCAGTAAGGAGAAGATAACAATTTGATTGTAGGCGAGGTTGCTTTGTGTAGGCTCAATAAAATTCAGTCATTAAAAACACATGTTCAATGGGAATAAAGTTATTTACCATAATATGCAATATGAGAAGACTGAGAGTTTTAGATGGAAAAGAAAACTTTGTAGCATTTCATTTGGATTAGAGTGAGACATTACAAGATGTTTTAGTCAGAATAAAATTGAGAAGGCACTCGGAAAGTGGTCTCATAACCACACTGTCTTTCAGAGTACAGCCTATTTATAAAATTACTCTTGAAATGCCACCACCAAATTTTGAACTTCTCTCTTGCCGTTGCATAGATTAATATATTTTACTTTAAAAATTGATCAATCTAATTTCTACAATTCTCACATAAATATAAAATAACCTTACATTGAATTATAGGTGACCTTACTTCTCTTCCTGCTTAATCTTTGCTATTTGCAATTCTATTCAAAACCATCTCCCCAAGCCATAATATGCCTTGGATTTGCTCTCTTCCCTTGATTATGCCACATGTAGAATTATTTCAATAATATATTTTCCTTGCCCTTAGAACAGATTCTTAAGGACATAGTCACAAGAAGTGAGAGACAGGAAATGATCATTTTTTTCCCAGAATGCTGAGTTAGCCTTTTACTGGACTTTAAAATAATGACTAAACAGTGGCAATGTTTAGATCGTTTTTCATTTGTATCACAATCTCTCCTACAAAGGGTATTCTAGCATTTAAAACACTGCATATTCTTGTTTTCAGTTTCATTTACCAAAAGAATTCAATGAATTTTTTTAATTGCCTTACCCAGTAAGTTTGACTGCATGTGTCTGAAGCTTTCGATATTTTTCTGACTCTTTGTTTGTGCTGGTAACATGCCTGTATATCCCTGTCTTATAATAGAAGAAATCCTCACGGACTTGCATTATGGCTAAAATAAAATCCAACAGAACAAATGGCACAGTATTAAAATACCATCTTTAAGAACCACCAGAAAATTTCACGGAACAACCAATGGGTAAATTGCAAGGAGCTGAATCTAAGAAGGGGCTGTGCAATTGAGCCTAATTTTCTTTCCTACTTAATTTAATTAGTTGCAATATTTTTTGTCATCCTATAAAAACAACTTTTAGCTATTTAGAATATTAAGTACACATTATGCTTTTAAAACACCATCTAGTCTTAATCAACAGAGACACTACTACCAAAAATTAAGCCCTTGCAACAAAAGTACACTATACCTGGTCAGTGATTACTATTTCTCCGTTAACCTTGTGCTTTACCACAAGCCTCTTAAAACCCCAATTAAGCTAGCAGAGCCTAGCAAACTGGGTTTAAAGCAATTGTCGTTAATCCTCATAAGTAAACACAAACATTTCTTTTGTGAGTTGGAATAAAAAAGCAAACTCCTGGCAAAATAAAACTTTGACAGGATTTCATCTTCCCAGCTCTGGAGAGATGAGCAATGTTGTACACTTTAAAAAGTAGAGCTTATACTTTAGAAAGCTCTCCTTCATTCCCTCACCTAGATTACTTCATCTCTCTATTGTGTGCTGCTTTGTTGAAGGACTTTGGCAATTCAGGGTGAAGACTTTAAACTTCTCTTGTAGAAGATATGAATTTAAAAAGTTTTAATTGGGATTACATATGTATAGTTTGACAACTGTGTACAATACTTGTCTTAATTTGACAAGCATTTTAAATAAAACAGGAAGGTAACTAGTGTTTGACAGATCCTTTAAAAAACCTTATACTCCAAAGTTAAATATAACTTTTCAATGTTCCTGTTTTTGTTTCGTTTTTTAATGTTCCATGCCTTCTCTGATGCTGTACAAATAGTCGCAAAAGAAGTTAAAACGTCTTTACTCTAAAACACATTCCTATAGGGTTTTAAGAATTTATGTAACTGTACTCTATGGAGATCTCTGCTTTTGTTCTCTATCCATCACCTATACTTACTTTTAATCCTACAGATTTTAGAAGAATGTACACAAAGTTATTCATTCAGGGTTCTGTTGGCTTTTACGCTCTTTCGTACTGAGACAGGGGAAATGCTGTATGCCAGACCAGGCAATAACAAGCAGGCAATCATGTAACATTTATAGCAAGAAGAGTCAACCAGCATTCTATCCCTTTATAAAAATGTGAAGATATTGCTACTAGCTTTTCTTTTCTGTAGAACCATTGACTCTTTTGGGTCTTATGATTCAACTTTCCTCTAAGTATCATGAATAAAATATACTCATTATTCCTGAAAAACACTGCCAACTAAAGAAAAATGATGAGAAGCCATCCTAATTACCTGAAAGGTGGCTTCTTTCTGAAGTTTCTGATACCAAACAGGCTTGATAAATTCGTGAATATATAACAATGTAAGTTATGATCATGCAATTTTACTTTTGGAAAACTACAGCAAACTCATGATACAGAATTATAACACGGATGAGAGGCTTGGTTGTTGCTCATCTCTTGCTCCTGGCTTAGGCTGGCGGGAAGCAGGTTCTCAAGAAACCTTTGTTAAATGAATGTTGAATAACTTGCATTTTTGTTTTATTGCTTTGAAATGTTACGCCTTTATTTTTGATTCATTCTGTGAAAATTATGAGCATTTCAGTAATAGCCATAAAATAACCTAAAGTATTTAAATTTTCTCAATTTTAAATAATTACAATTCAAAATTGTTTGACTGATTAAAAAAAGAGGGAGAGAGAGGGGGGAAAAGGAAAAAAAACACTTGAAATAATAATACAATGACTTGAAGATTCTGAAAGGTTAAGTAAATTGCCCAAAGTTATTTAAATAGCAAATGCCAAATTTGGGATATTTTAGCGTAACCTTGACTCTAAATACCTGTGATCTTTTAAATTTGTCACAGAAGCACCACATAATGGAGCATACATTGAAATTAGAGATTAATTCCCTCGCTCCTCAAATGACCAACAAATTACACAGCTGTAAGGGGGAACAGAAAATTTCTGTTCATTTGTTTCAGGTTTTGGGTAATGTTCCATAATTTTTAAAAATTAAATTCAGGACATGTTTATGTAGGCTGTGGTTTTTCAATAAATGCTAAGTGGTAATAATGATCAATAAAAATTCATCCAACACAATTATAAAATCCATGATTCCTGCCTATATATATTTAACCAATACTAACTAGATCAGTGTTCAGAAAAATTAAAATTGGCAATGGTTCCTTAAGTATGTACCAAATGTTTTACATTTAATTTTGGCCTATTTTTTATTCCACTGCATTGATTATATATTCCAGGCCCTTCAGTATTCACAACCTAAATTTTCATTTTAGGCTTCGTTGGATTGATTCTTCCATGCACTTCAAACCAATGTTTACACTGGGAATACACTCTGTGAATTTACCCGTATTCAGGCCATTGATGCAAAATAAAATTCAACAGGCAAGCAGAATAAATTATTACAAGAGATGAGATAAATCAAAGGCAATGTACAAGTAACTATATGATTTCATTATTTACTGTTACTCTAAATAAAACATTTACAAAATTGATCAAAATTGAAAACCTTTTGTAAAATGCAAAATTACACTGGTTTACTCGATTTATTTTGAGTTAATAGAAGGAAAATATTAACCCTCAATTTTTTCAATCCACTACCTAATCCACTTAAACTGAAGATAAGAAAACTGTATGTATGATTCTTAAATATGACTGAATAAATAAAGTAAGCTTCATTACAAATTAGTCAGTTGGCATTTCATGTTGGACTTTCTGTTGGTCCATGATCATTTTGGAAAAACTTCGGAGTCATTCATCAAATGCGTCATTAATATTTAAGAGTTCAATTTATAAATAAGTCTATCTTCCGAAAATAAAATGGCAGCTAATTAAGATATAGGTAAGCATACTTCTCATAACTGCACTCATTTTAGAACTGTTGAAGCCTTTTGGATACTCTTTAAGTAAAAGTTTTCTTACTTTTATTAAACTCCTATTACATGAGCTCAATGTAATGTTGTTCATTAAAGGAATGAATAAGAAAAAAACGTATTTCATCCAAGCTCACCTTGAACTGGTCCATTTTGCATAATTTCTTTCATTATCTCAGTTTCCTGGATGGAAAAACATGAATGAGCAATATCATTGTTATCAGAGCATACTAAACCTATTGACTGGTGTACAATGTTAAGTGTTTGCAATTTACTCTCAATCGTACTTTGGCAAACTCACGTATATTACGCTACATTAATGAAATTGTTAAAGATGAGATGCACCCATTTGTTTTAATGACACTTATCACTAAACAGTAAATTTGGAGTGGAGAGAAAATACAATAGCCTTTCATGATTATAAAGAAAAAAATAAACAAGGTAAGTTAAAACAGTATTTAATTAGTGGAGATTAATAGTACCTCTAATTTTTTTCTCACAAGAGCTATCCCAAATGATTGTTTAGTTAGATGTCTCAGTAACCTTAGTGCAAATATTTCTATGATGTCTCCTAATGTATAATGCAGCCCTCTATAGGGAGGCAGGGCACTATTTCATCCATTTTTCTGTACCTTTGAGCACAAAGTACATGCCAGAAACTATAACAGGAACAAATATTGACCCTGAACCTATACTCAAATTATTTACATTTTGGTTGAATGACACTACTAATTTCATTATTATATAATAAGATCCATTGTAGAGACAAGCACAAAGTGTTATTGTTGCAAACATAAAAGGGAAATTAATTCTGCATGGAAATTAAGGAAAATTTCAGAGATATGAAGTTTTTACCTGACATTTGTTTGGCATTCTAGATGGAAAGACTTGATAACCATTTGCATCAGAGGAATTATCACCTAGCTAAGTGGAAAAGTATAACAGAGCATGGTGTACCTGGGGAACAGAGACTAGTTTTATATATTAGGAGCATTATGACTGGGTAGAGTGGCAGATGCTGGCAGGACATGAGTGTATAAAAGTAGTACGTCAAAACCAACTCATGAAAGGCCAGTGTGCTATGGTTAGAACACTGAATTGTACTCTGGAGATAATTAGGAGGACTGGAGATTCACAGATTCTGAAAACGAGCAGGCTTGGGGAACACTGATATGATGAAGTAAATTTGCCTAGGCTTTTAACAGACAAACTGGAATCCAAGGGAGTCTTTTTTATATCAGACCCATGTCCTCTTAAATTATTTTGTTAAGTGAGGCAAAGGATTGATAAAACGAGCTAATAACACAAAAAAGTCAGTAAAGCAGTGTTTAACTTAGCTTTTAATTGTCAAGTTCAAATATATTTATATACAGATATTATGAAACATAATTTTAAAACCCTATTTCCTTAGACTTTTTAAAATTTCAGCCAGTTCTTTACACTGCTAATATTACAAAGATAAGACATCATACCCAAATCGAAAGTCCTTAAAAGTATTAAAAATTATACTTGAAAATATAACATTTATTTTAGAATATGATAGTTTTAAGTAGTTTTTAAATTGTTTTTGCTACAGCAGAGGTATATACGTTTGAGAAAGTCAACTATTCTTGATTCTTGACATTTATACTTACACTGGAAGAGACTCTGTATGGAGGAGAACATTGGTAGATCCTGTTAGATTTTTCTATGTTGTTGGGACATGGCTTTGTGGCATGCCGTTTTCCTCGGCCATCAGACCTGCTTGCCATGGCACATCCATTGTTGGCATTTTGGTCTTTGAAAAGTGGATAGCATGCATGGGATACCAGTCTATGAGGAATAAGCAAAGAAGCAAAGGTAATATTTAGGAGAATGTTATAATATCCTGTTTATATATATTTTTTTTTTTTTTAAATTTATTTATTATTATTAAACTTCAAGTTGTAGGGTACATGTGCACAATGTGCAGGTTTGCTACATATGTATACTTGTGCCATGTTGGTGTGCTGCACCCATCAACCCGTCATTTACATAAGGTATAACTCCCAATGCAATCCCTCCCCCCTCCCGCCTCCCCATGATAGGCCCCGGTGTGTGATGTTCCCCTTCCCGAGTCCAAGTGATCTCATTGGTTAAGGCGATGGACTGCTAATATCCTGTTTATATTTAATCTTACTGAATTCAACATTAATAAATTATTCTGGTTACTTACATGCATAATTTTCAAAATACTGACTGGCTCCAACACAGAAGCTCAGTGACATTATACTCTTCCCTACCCTCCTCTTATTTCTTCATTATAATTTTAAAAATCTTGTTTGATCAATTTTTAATAAATAATTCTATCTGTAGTATAGAATTTCCTGAAGATAAAAAGTGGTTGTCAATATTAAGTATGTGGTAATATTAATAGGGAAAGGACTCCATTCAACCTGTATATATAATTATAATTTGGAAGAGCTAAATTTAATATAAACAAGATATTGAATCTGACTACTCCCAGATGGAATATTAAAATTATGTAAGCTGTAGCGTTAAAGCTTTTATTTTGTTTTGTTTTTGCATTTTTATAATTGTAATATGTTCACATAATACAAACTATTATATATCTGTAGCTTGTGGTACTTTGGGGGAAAATAGTATAATATTAATATAATATTAAAAGTTAATAAAGTAGAAAACTATCAGACATGTATTATCTAAAAGAGAAAATGATTTTGATTTCTGATTTTGAAACTAAACATAGCAAAGCACAAATTATTTGGCACCAATTCAAACATGATAATATTGAATAAAAAGGTAAATTGTAAGGGAAATAAAATCGTGGTAATGGCATTGTAGATACTCTATGCTGAAATGACCATAGAAGTATCCACTAGGATTGGTTCATGAAAATGTAATAGTTTCCAACACAATATGAGAATCTGAGGAAAGAACATGACAAAAGCAAAACCATTGAAAACACTCAAACAACCTAAAAAATATTGTATTAAATGCATTACATTTGTATTAAATGATGAGTGCTGTGGACTGAATGGTGTCACTTTAAAATTCGTATGTTGAAGCACTTATACCCAATGTAATGATATTTGGAGGTAGGCCTTCGGGAGATAATTAACTTTAAAGGATGTCATGAGGGTAGGGCCATCATAGATGTGATTAGTGACCTTATAAGAAAAGGAAGAAACCAGAGCTCTCTTTCATCATGTGAGGACGCTGTGAGAAGGTGTCCATCTGAAAGCCAGAAAGAGAGCCCTCACCAAGAACCAGATCAGCCTGGTCCTGGATTTTGCAGCCTCCAAAACATCAGTGTTTGCTGTTGAAGCCACTCAGTCTACGGAATTTTGTTACAGCACCCCAAGCAGTCCAATACAATGAGATTTAGTTGGGTCTTCACGATAATTTACATTTTCAAGCTATTAAAGGGCTGTTATTTTTTTTATCATAATACAGCACTAGTACACAAGGAAAGTATCAGCCCAAGTTGACTATTCAAAGTACGACATTTTAGGCAAAACATATGAAAAAATTTAAAGCAATTTATTGCAACCCATCAAAATCTGACATCCACTATTTTCTATAGCATCTAACTGGTCCTATAGCAGACCCAGAGCACTGAGTGGATGATGAAGAGCAGGTAAGCAGTACATACAGACACTACTGTTTATCAGCTGCAGCTTCCTTAGCTGAATAACTCAGCTTTTTAGTAGATCAGCTCTTACAGCAGACACAAGGATGTTATATGGGTATCAGCCTACCTGAAAGTGAGGAAATGCAGCCTCCCATTTTTCATCAAATGGGGTGGAGACAATGAACCATACTGATGAGTTAAAACAACTGTAGATTATTTCCTTATATTATTATTCTTATTTTTAGCCTAATTTTACCTGATATTATCTATTCCTCAATCTGGTAACTGAAAAGTACAGCAGAGAGATCAGCAACCGTGATTACTTTATTCTGTCTGTGGGGACTCACTTGGCTCAGCGCAACAAGAAAAAAATATTTACTTGAGTCTTCAAAACTAAAATTCATATTAATTTAGCTAGAAACGTATACATTTCTCAAGTGTTTCTAATAGCTTCTAATCTCAATACATAACAAATGTAGTATATATTTAAATGTAGCATAATATTTATATTCATGTAGCTGTAGTATATATATTTTTAAGTACTTTTTTGTAAAAATCTTGGGATTAATTATTTTCCTTGTTCTAACACAATGAACCACTCGTAAAAATCCTAGAAACACATGTTGAGCAGCTATTTACCCACGTTTTCTCAGGTACCACCAAGCCCTATCGATGCTTCCACTATTGCACCCATGACGGTTCTTGGCACAGCAAGAGATCAAATTCTGAGGGGATAGATTGGCCGTGTATCGACCCTTAGACTGAATTGCTATTCGGTCAGCAGCCACACCTGTTTCAAATAGAATATCAATTAATATTCAAATGGTACACGGTATTTCTAATAAGATACATAACCTTTTTATTTGAACCCTAACGTAGTCTTTAAAACTGTGTGTAATTTATAATTAAAGCCAAAGAGCATTAATATATTTATGTATACCAGCCAGTTGAACTGTGTCATACTTTCAGTCATAATTTTTGTCCTATTTTGATATTACTCAATTGTCCTATTGACTTCAAAGATTTTTCCAGTTTCTTGTTCCTTTGATGTTCTATATATTCCTGAACACTCCTCATTAGGGAATCTGTCAAGTGAAACTCTTGGAGGGCAAGAGCCATATGTTCCTTATATTTCTATTTCCTGTACCTAAAACAGTACCTTGCATATAGTCATGGGAAAATACATATTTTCTTAATGAATTTAACTAAACTGGGGCAATTGAGAAAACTAACCATAGAAATATTCGTTGGAAATTCATCCACAGTCATCTGATATATTGGAGTAAAACTGAATCCTTTGTTTTTAAACTGGTATCTAGTTTAACTACCCAGGAGGTCATACTTAAGCTAATCCAGACTAACATGAATCAATCTTATACAGTATCTAAAGGCTACATAGCACACTTTTGTGTTCATAATATAAATGAAAATTATTATCTTAATCTTGTTTTAGCAGACATGGAATTCAGCTTGATTATACATATATATAAAGTGAAATGAATATATTTATTCAGTTATAATTACTAACTGTTGTAACTACTATTAACTAATACCATTAGTTACATATAATATAGTTCATTATATATAGCTATATATGTAATTATATATATACAATCTAATAGCTATATATGTAACTGATGATATGTAATGCTATATACAACTAATAATATAGTTATGACTACTGTATTACTAATATCATTAGTTATATATATATATATATACACACACACACTTTTTATTATTAAAACTTCTATTCATTTGTTATATGATTTCCTAGAATTGTAATTGTTATTGATTCATTCCTTTCCTCAACACATTTATTAAACACCTACTAACTGACAGGCACTGTAGCACTGGAAATTACAATGATGAACAAGAAACAAGGGAGACATAGTTCTACCCTCTTAGAATAACAGACCAGGAAAACTAATCAACCAGTAGCAAAATCCTACAGATGCCGTCATTTTGATCATGGTACCAAAATAAACTAATGTGAGTGATCAGATTATGAAAAAATTGGGGTGGTACCATTTTAGTACAGACTTTTTCGTTGAAAATCTGGTACAGTCTTGTTGAATATCTGGTACAGTCTTGTTCAGTCTTGTTCTAAGTGAGTTTCTTACTCACTTTTAATTAAAGGCAACAAAATAATAACCTTTCTTCTATTCGTTCACTTTTCTTAGTGAAAGTTTTAGCTTTTTTTCTCATCAAAATTGTCAGTGTCCTGAAATCCCTCAAGGTGCTAATTAAAAATTTTTCTAAAATAATTCATTTAATTCATTTACATATCTATCTTTGTATACACATGGTTTTAATGTAACTACGGCATATTACAATGCTGTAGGGCAATTGCTGGCATTCTTTAGATGCTCAATATGTGTTAAATCTATAACCTCCAACTCCCTACTAAATTCCAATCTACTATTGCAAATAGTAGGATATATTTCATAGGAGCAAATGGCATTATACGACTTCTGATAGTCTCAAGAAAATAATTCCCTATTTCATTAAAGAAAGGAGAAATTCTTTAATGCTTTGACATTCAGCACAGGGGTTTAGAATGAAATTGAAATTTTTAAAAATGGTATAACTGTGTTTTCATTCAGAAAATACTTTTATAGTGTAGAGAAAACAGTAATCCAGAAGTAAGAAGCCTGGTCTCTAGGATTATTTCTGATATTTCTCATCTTTTGGCTTCAGATAAGCCACTTTACCTATTTGGGCCTCCATTATAATACTAGAGGCTTGAAAAAGGTGACCTTTAAAATCTCTTCCAGCCTCACGAATCTGTAGATTTCAAATAAAAGGTAAGTGTTTTAAATCATCATGTTATTCAATATGTTGCTTTTATACCGACATTTCTGAATCTCAATGATGGTTTAGCCAAAATTCACTTGAAATATTTAGAAAAGGTCAGAAGATTTAAGAATGACTCAGTTCAACCAATTGTTTTCCACTCTCTTCTTAAAAACTCTCACTGGACGGTACCTCTGAGACACACTCTATTCTTTCCCTTGCTTATTTTATTCCGTCTTCAAATGTATGTGAAACATACCACTCCCACTGCTCCAAACACCTGTATCTCTTCGGCTTCTGAAAAATAGCTTGAATTTGATTGGATTACACAACTTTTAAAAATATATGTGCCTATTTTTAACAGTCTTATTTATTCCATTTTATAGTTTTTAGTTTCTCTGAGAGATAATCTTTTTTAGTAACTAATACTTCTCGACACAATTTCTTAGATCTTTACAATAATTTAGTTCATTTTTTTTCTTTATTTAACAAAAAAAAAAATTTGCCCTAATTTATCATACTAAATTCACAGGATACAAAACTATGTCCTTTGGAATCACAAAAGGAAACCTGTCTCTGGTGTTCCGTGTTTTAGGTAGGGGAACAATCCTGACTTGGCGCAGTGCAGGGGCTATCTGTGGGGTTGAGACCTGGGAACACCAAAATATATCCTCCACTCTAGCGAGTTGCTTTCAGTATTTCACCATGAATGTTTTTCCTTACACATCTTCAGAAATACTGGCATAATGTAAATTTTAAGCAAAATTCTTATAGATCACCCACTAGGTGTAACACATTAACCACATGAACGCAAAATGGCAAACGGTTTATTACATTAAACCTTTCTCCACCCATTTGAAAGAACCTTAATCTTCTTTTTATTATCTGGCCTTAGCAATCAATAGACAAACAAATTTTAGCGCAGAAAGGTCTCCATGTGGGTCCCTGACACATCAAGTACAGCATAAGATAGCCAGAGAGGGAGTGTGGACAGCAATGAATTAGCAAATGTAGCCACTTGGGGTGAGCTTGGCTACCATTATGATTCTAACAAAGGCATTTACGGAGTTGTCTGATTGATATCCTGGAGCAATGATACTTAGACACAGACGTCAGCATTTCTCTGTCCCAGGCTATGCTGCCTTTCATAGTTGGCTTCTCGAAGAGCCTATGTACTTGTTCACAATCCTTCAATGGCTTTAAACTGTCTTTGAACACTGTTGAAATTACCTGCAAACCCTAGAGCATGGTTTTGTGAAGATAATTGAATGACAGCCAATCATCATCATGTTAGGTTTCATTTAATTGCTAAAATACATTCAACATTCCTTTGAGGATAATTTTGGAGACCTAATTTGAGGGTTAGCCTGTAACTAATTTATTGAATTTGTGAATTTATATGAAAGTAACTATAAAAGAGTCATTGCTTATACTTTTTAAGTAACAGTAGACTTAATTTGGATGCTATTCTTATTAAAAGATCAGTTACATTACTTTTGAGTCAGAACCTATGTATTTGCTTATATTTATTTAAAATGAAATAAAAATCCATTTGATCCATTATTATTTAGGTTTAAAGTCTTACTTTACATCGAATTAGATTAATAACTGTGTTTGCAAATTGTATAAAGAGTAAAGAATATGAGGATTATGTGGGTGTGTCTACATGTATATTAGAATTATAAATAATATATGAATAAAGAAGAACCTTAATCCTTTTTTTATTATCTGGCCTTAACTCCGAATAGACAAACACATTTTAGCAACTTTATTTTGTCACTCTTCTGATTCACTCTCTATTTAAAATTGCACCCTAAAAATAAAAAACAACTTTTAGACTAAAAATGGGTTTTTTATATAATCTTTAGGTTATATTCTTCAGTCACAGTGAGATTTTATTTGATCATATGCTAATATTTAAATATTCTAATTGTTAAAATCGTTTAATTATTCTCTCAGTCTCTAGAGCCAAAAGGAGTAGTTTATAAGAAAGGAATTAAAATGACTTTATTACTTGCAGTGGAAAATGCCCAGGATGCAGCACAATTTTTTTGATCCAATGGGCCATGAGTCCATCCAGGCCATTTATAAGAAGCAACAAAAAACTCTGGAAGGTCAGTTGTTGCAGGTAAAGGAGCCTAAAGAGGAAGAAGAGGTACATTTATGAGATTTTCTCAAACATGTCTCAATAGGAAAATGTCATGCCCTTTTATAAAGTTGTAATTATTTTTTAAATTATTTTATACATTCAAGTTTCCAGATGAACTATTGCTACGTGGGATTTATATTTCACTATATGGTTAAAAATAACAATGCAATATGGGGACTCATAACCTAATACAAGTCATGAGAAAAACACATAGAATGGTTTTTCTGGGTTACTACTCAGTGCAGTAATATCAGCCAATGTTTCTATCACCTTGAATCAGAGTTTTGCTCATCCATAGGAAGACCACATGGTGTTATTCAAATTTGTCCTCATAAAGAACATTTACTTCTCTGTCTCTATTTTAAAGAGTGTATGTGATTCTGAGATGAAATTAATTTTGAAAAGGTGCATTTATGATAATTATTTATGATAATTATATATTGTATGTCCCCCAAGGAACACATCAATTTTACACCAGCTATTAGGAAACAAAACTGCGATGAATTGGTTGATATTTATAAAATACTTGAAGACTAAAAAGGACTTCAGGGCCGGGCACGGTGGCTCACGCCTGTAATCCCGGCACTTTGGGAGGCCGAAGCGGGTGGATCACAAGGTCAGGAGTTCGAGACTAGCCTGACCAACATAGTGAAAACCTGTCTCTACTAAAAATACAAAAAATTAGCTGGGCGTAGTGGCGGGCACCTGTAATCCCAGCTAGTCAGGAGGCTGAGGCGGGAGAATTGCTTGAACCTGGGAGGCAGAGGTTGCAGGAGGTTGCACTGAGCCGAGATATCGCCACTGCACTCCAGCCTGGGCAACAGTGCGAGACTCCATCTCAAAAAATAAATAAATAAATAAATAAGAAAGAAAAAAAGGACTTCTGGAAGTGTGTAAAAGCAACTGTGCAAAAGTATGATGTCTTAAGAGTCCAGGTTAAAGCCCTGGCAAAGTCAGTTTTGGCTGCCATCTTTCCAAGAAGCCAATTAAATTGTATGAAACTTGTTCTGTTCATTTCATTAAAAAAAATCTAGAACCCAATAACCTGTTATATGCCAAACTTTCTAAAGAGATGACTTTCACTTCCAAAAACAATCGGGCTTAAATCAAATAACAATTTGTTTATTAATTTTTCATCAGTTGTTTATATATGTTCACACGCACACACCAATCATTTCTGAGCGTTCTTTAAAGTTTTGAAAGTGTTTTAATGTTTTAATACTCATTATTTTATTTTGTCTTCTCAATATTCCTGTGTGATATACTCATGGACAAACATTATTAACTCTTTTTTATGAATGAGAAAACTAACTTTTAACAGTTAAAAGGCATGTTGAGTCCCTTAGTTAAACGAGAAATGCTCCTAGGACTACACTCAGGCTTCAAAATTCTTAACTTGCATCATTTCTATTGTTTCCCTGCTTTATCAGAAATAAATGGCTAATTTGCAGCAGAAGTAAAATGTTAAAAATCTTTACCAATTTAAAAGTTTTATGATTGTGCCTTGAACCAGTCATATTACTGATCTGGTTGGTATCTCGCATTAAAAAAAAAAAAATTACTTCTGATAAGTACATAATAGCTTCCAGGACTAAAACAAGGAACGTTTAGAATTTACACATCTGCTTGAAAATGTTTTCATCCAAAATAATTTATAAATTTGTATTTTACTAGGGGAGTTCAGTTTTTACTTCAAAAACTATTACCACCTGATAAGAAAATTATTATATCCTGAGGTCCATTACTGCTGTTTAGATGATGGAACAAAGTGCCAAAAAACACCAAGCAGATCATTGTGAAGTGCTTGCATGATAACTTCAAGTATGGTATCATAGACAGCTAAGTGATTTGGGGGTTTCGATGTCGTCAGATGGACTGCATTGGAGAATCTTAGGGTTGGGGCAGAATACATTTATTGCTCTGGGTAGATAATTTGAGAGATACAGACTCACTTTTGAAAGGTGCCTTCCTAGCTGGGGCAGAAATATACATATCTTAAAACTCATACCCTCCAATTTTGTATTATTTGTTTGTCAGTGTGCCTTTAAGTATTTATAATACTAAGTTGCCTCATGTTTTCAGAAAAATAGGTGGAGTGTCAATTGTTATTTTATCACTTTAAAATTTCAATTTAATGACAAAGCTAGGATATTTTCCTTTTCTTCTACTGATACAATAAACATGTAACTATTACTTTAAACATAATTCAGCAGGGTTCGGTTATTTAGAAATTGACCTCCACATTTGAAAGCCTACCAGAGTTCTTTGCATATGGGAGATACTCAATAAATTTTTAATAATAGTAATGAAATACATATCTATCAGGTAAAAGCATGTTTTCCTCCATAGGCACATTAAGTTAAATTATAATACCAGCATGCATTTGTTGCTTTTATGATTTATTCTTTAAAAATGAAAAAATATAAATGGTGAATCCTTCTCAATAAGACAATAGTGAAACAATAAGCAAAATAACATTTTTATTAAAAACTTATTTACCAATCCACTAAGCCAGATCAATTTATGAAGATCACCTGTTGGATTTTCAAGACTTTTACCATTTATTTATTACTGCTTTTACTAAAAATGAGCTCCTAGGATTTGAGGCCCAGCAGGTATGTATTTTTTTATTTGCCTCATGATATCAGCTAATCTGATACTATAAAACCACAGAAAATTTTCTATTTCATTATTTCATAATTACTGTATTTCTCTGTAAAGTAAATTGTTTAGAGTTTGTAAATAAAGGTAAGCATCACAGAATAACAGCTGTAAGGAATTGGTAATAGAAGTTTGGCTTTAATGAATGATACATTTGTTTTTAATTTATTTTGCTTAGTAAAGCAAAAGAATCAAGAAGATCATCTGATACTGACAGAAATTCCAAAATGACACTGGCTTAAGTAGGTAGAAATTCATTTTTGAGAAAGACTTACATGATTTCATATAGATATGCTTAATTCTTTTAATTGTAATGTTGAAAACTATTTTAATCAGGATCTAACTGTATTTCCAAATCAGTATTAGCCAAATTTGATGTTCAATGTGAACAGTCTCCCTGCTTCAGTATTTCCATTTAAAAATGAGAAATTAAAGACATTGTGGGCAAATATGAGAATTAAATACAGCAGTAAACACTGGAGAATTGTATAACATTTGCATTTAATTAAATTAAAATCTCTAAAAGAGTGGTGGAAATGTAATCATAGCGTAGCTTGAGATAAACTGATCAATTCTCTCAGGAACCTCAGAATAAATTCTAAACATTCTTACAATTGAGTCTATATCTACACAATATCCTCTGCATGCATCAGCCCCTCTATTTGTATTTCCCCCCACCCATTTAAACTTGGATGCTCACAGTGACCTGATAACCAAATGAAGCAACAGAGAATGAAATTCTGTTATGACCTTTACAATCTAAGGTCAGTGGCCATGAATACCAAGAAATTTCGGAACTATTTGATACTGGGGATGAAAGGGCTAATTTTCTAGTGGCTAATGACTAAATGAATTTCTCATCTTCAACAATATTTGTCTTTATGCCTTACCTTTAAAAGAGATATTCTTTGATAAGTCTCTAGTTTTTTATTATATATTATACATATATTAGAGTAATATTTTAATAATCTACTTCTTATACAGATCAATATGTACAGTAATTGCCTATTTCCCAACCCCACCCTGCACCCCCCTCAACCCCCCTACCCAGGCTGCTATCACTAAGTTCTACCCTGTGGACTGTAAGGGGAAGCATCATTTGGTAGCTTCTGAGATCTTTCCTTAAGAGACAGCTGGCGCTTGACTTTTGCTCCTTTGTCTTGATCTTTTGTATTTCTCTGCCGGCAGAAATGTAGGTATTACAGATGGACATAGAACAGTCCTGTTGAACCATTACGTGACCTTGGAAATAAAAGTGCTGGGCAATGGAGCAACAAGAAGAATGAAGTGTGGGTATCCAACACCACAGAGTACAATTCCAGCACAGGGCTACCCACTTCCAGATTTACTGGTGAGAATTCAGTTTCTATCTCATTTAAGCAACTGTCATTTTGAATTTTTGTCACTCTCAGTTGAGCCTAATCATAACTAAAACAGCATGCATAATTGCCATTAAAGTTTTTAGGGCAACGTCGTATTTCATTGAACCTAAGGCATCTTCAAATGTAAGAAAGCACCTCAATTTCAGATGTGTTAACGAGTGAAAAAAATATGCATCTGAAAATGGATGAACTGTGATATTTCCTTAAATGAGTTCGTTAAAACACTAGTTCTGAGGTATTTTAATAGGTAATTACAAAAGGAGTGAATAAAATCGTTCTGAGAAACACCGGTTTTGAAAATTAGATTTTTATCTTCACTGCATTATTTTTTACAAACTGCTAAATGTATATGAGCTCTAAAACATGGTAATAATGTTCATGATGTTAAATGTTCAGGATTTGGTACAATGCAAAATATTTTATTTTATTTTATTTACTTCATATCATTTTTATTGTGAAGCAGATCAATGAACTAATCTTTTTTTGTTTGTTTGTTTGTTTGAGACAGTCTTGCTCTGTCGCCCAGGAGTGCAGTGGCAGGATCTAGGCTCACTGCAACCTCCACCTCCCGGGTTCAAATGGTTCTCCTGCCTCAGCCTCCCGAGTAGCTGGGACTACAGGTGCGCACCACCATGCCCTGCTAATTTTTCTTTTAGTAGAGACGGGGTTTCACCGTGTTAATTGGGATCGTCTCAATCTCCCGACCTTGCGATCCGCTCACCTAGGCCTCCCAAAGGCGTGAGCCACTGCGCCCGGCCGAACTAGTGTTTTATGGAACATACTTTAGGACAAGACAGAGCCAGACATGGAGAGGCCAGAGAATAGGTGCCTGTACTATGAACACACAAAATGATTTTAGGAATCTACTTTTTAACAGCCTAAAATATCTATTCATAGAGAAGAAAATAATACATTTTTACATTTATTTTTGAAGATTTGTCCTCCA